TCCTACTTTGTTATATTATCAATAAAAGTGGCGTGTTGCCTTATCCCCCTGAAAAAGGTCCCGTGTGCTTCTTTTAAGCATAACACCCCTTCTGAGCGACTCCCACTACAGTGAGCCCTCGCTACTTCGCGGTTCGACCATCGCGGATTCACGACTTCGCGGACTTTTTTCATTACATTATGTATATACGTGAATCCGCGATGGTCGAACCGCGAAGTAGCGAGGGCTCACTGTATACATGTTAAATATACATGTCCCTACTTCGCGGATTTTCAACTATCGCGGTCGGGTTTGGAACCTATCTACCGCGATAAACGAGGGTTCACTGTATACCACGCCCACTAGCACTGCCCTGGGGTGAGCACTGACTGAGAGGAGAGCACCCCCTATTGACTCACTCACACCCCTTCTTGTAGCACAGCGCTCCCTAGAACTGCCCTGGCACCGAGTCTCTCTGTGGGACGATGGCCTTGTACTGGAACCCCAGCATCCTTCCTGCAGGTTTCCCTTTGTGGGTCTGCCATCCTTGCTGTGGAGAAGTGGGGAGAGAGCCTCGCACTTCGATTGCTGCTTGTCTGTTGGGACCCTTGTGAGTTCATTCTAATTTCCTTTCATTGTTTTTTATTCATGGCATGATTCATACACCCCCTTCCCCACCCACCTCCGCGAGATCGCGCTACCCGGAAGGGAAATCCTTTCCACTGCTGGAAATCCCAGCAAAGCCGGCTTGCTATTCCAATTTACAGCAGTGTGGGGCAGTTTCTCTAGGCACCTGTGACGGCGCGATGGGGTTCCCTCGTCTCCTGCACCCCGAAATGGCACAACAGACTGCACCAGCCAGTGGAATAGAGGCAGTTTATTGCCTCTCCAGGATACAGCACAGCACAGATGTCATCTGGTCACAGAGCTGGGCTAGGATGCCTCAGGCCCCCTTGAGATGGGGGAGACTGGGCCCCTAAACTCCAGCCCCTTTCCCTAGGCTGTCTCCTCCATGCCCCCAGCCAGCAACTCACTAACCCTCTTCCAGCCCTGCCCCCCAGCCAGGGCAGCATCCACCTTCCTTTGTTCCTCTCCATGGGGGGTGGCTGGCCATACTCATTTGCATAGTGACTCATCCTGTTTTGCTGGGTCGTGGTACCCACGGCAGCCAGTGGGGGTTACCCCAGAGCCAGCAGCATAGAAACCAGCCAGGTACCCCCACTACGTCACAGCACCATTTCCCCTGGGGACACAGGTCATGTAGAAAGGGGCAACGGGACGATTTTCCCTGTTTTTCCATTGGCTTCCCCTACGAAATGTGCTCTGGATCTGTGACGGACGGGAGGGGCACTACCCTTTTTGGGACACCCCAGCCATAAAGTGAACTAAATTGCCAGTACGGGTTAAACCCACAGGCAGCAGGTCCTAGAGAGTCCCCAGAAATGCTAGGGAAGCAGGAAGTGTTGGCAGGAAGCCAGGAGAGCCAATGGAAACAGAGTGAGGGTGCTGGAACAGGAAGCAGTGGCCTTCCTGCTATTGTTTTTGTGTGAGCAGAGCAAAGCTGAGACGTGGCCTGAGCCAGGAACCCAGGCATGGAGAATCCAGCAAGATCCATGCCTAGGGGAGGACTAAGCCTCGGAACAACAGAGATGTGAGTAGAAGAGGGAATGTTTAGTCAGGCGTGATCAGGGGTTTGCTGGATTTCTCAGGGCTGAGCCCATGTACCCCCTGTACACGGTAGCTCTCCAAACGGATTCCCAGGGAAGCAATTCTCCGTGGGTTTAATCTTTCTTTTAGTCTGTAACACCTAGCGACCCAGTGTGATCAGATTCCTGTGGCCTAGAAGGCAGCAGGCGCTGTGCTCATGTGCCTGAGACTGACCGCCAGCTACGAAGAGATCACAGGTCATTTTTTAAGCTCTCTCCTGAAGGAGGGTTAAAGAGCTGGCGGGTACCCATGGGGAGACATTCCTAGATGTGTCTCTGTCACGTTCCTGGAATTTCAGGGAAGCAGCCAGATCATGGCTGCACCCATAGGTGGGGGTGCTGGCCCCAACAATGATATAGAAGGGGGCCATGTGGGGTATTGAATGGGAGCTTATTTTTTGCTGATCCTGTGTACGCTATTTATGTGAGTGTGTAATGTCTGTGTGCGTAGGTAGGAATCTGTAATCTGTGTGAAAGCTGAATATTTCTCTGAATGTGGTTGAGCATTGCTATGGACAGGCTGATTAGCCAGGCCCTGTGGGACAATGGCACTTGATGGGCCAAGGACACACCTAAAGCATGAGGGCGGAGACCTAAGAGCTGCAGCAGAGAGAGGCTGAAGGCCAGGTGACTGGCTGCATACAAGAGGCCAGGGAGGAGGTATAAAGAGGCCATGTGGTCGATGCCATTTTGTTCTCAGCTCAGCACTTCATCCCAGAGGCAGCACTGCAGGGACTGAAGAGCCCGGAAGACCTGTGAACCCATCCTGATCGTAGGATGTGCAATAAGAACTTTTAAACCAGCAGCTGCAACATCTCTGCTAGAGCCTGCATCGAGAACTGGGAGATTCGGTGCATGTAACGTACTGTACTTTAATAACCTTACTCTCATGCTTTTCTTTCGTTAGATGCTAAAGGATTGGCTCAGCGTGATTTGTGGGTAAGGTCCAAAGGGAAAATTGCCCAGGGATCTGTGCCTGGTTTCTTGGAACTGGACAGAACTTGTTCGGGGTAGGTGGGATTGGGTGCTAGGACCCCCCACCGGTGTCTGAGACCCGGGGCCAACTGGGGCACGGATATTGCTGGGGTGTCGGAGGGGTTTTGCTCATGAGGCTTTAGGCAGGCTGCTGAAGCGCTCTGTGGGACTGGTTTGTGCCCTGTTTGGAGAGGTCACCAGTCTGGGGGCTGTAAGGAGCCTCAGATTTGAGCAATTCGCCCTGAGCGGTGCCCTCAGCTGTGCCCAGACACGGCCCGGTCCGTCACAGTCTCCTTGGGCTCTCAAAGGGGTTTTTTCACTGTAGTGGCTGGGCATTTTAAAATCTCTTGCAGGCCCCCACCTTCTGCACTGGAAGCGCCAGCGTGGGGAACAGCTTTGACTGGATCCCTGATCAGAACATGAAAACGGCCACATTGGGTCAGACCGAAGCCTCATCTCTCCCAGCGGCCTGTCTGCTGACAGTGGCCAGTGCCAGGTGCCCCAGAGGGAGGGAACAGAACAGGGAATCCTCACGGGATCCCTCCCGTCGCCCACTCCCAGCCCTGACAAACAAGCTAGCGACTCCATCCCTGCGCACCCTGAGGACCATTTCATGTCTCTAACCAGTGTTGCTATGTCTACACGGCAATTCTTTTTCAGAAAAAGGTACGCAAAGCATGAACCGCAATTTGCGTACCTTTTTCCCATTCTTTTTTCAGAAGAACCCTTTTCCGACATTTGGCCCATCTGTGACGGCGCGTTGGGGTCCCCCGTCTCCTGCACCCCGAAATGGCACAAACAGACTGCACCAGCCAGTGGAATTGAGGGTGGTTTATTGCTCCTCCAGCACAGCGCAGCACAGATGTAATCTGGTTACAGGAACTGGGGCTAAGAGGTCTCAATGCCCCCCTTGAGATAGGGGAGTCCCAGCCCCCTCCCCAGCTCCTTCTTCTCTGCCTTCCAGCCAGCCACTCACTAACTAACTTCCAGCCCTGCCCCCCAGTCAGGGCAGCTTCCACAGTCCTTTGTTCCTCTGCATGGGGGGTGTC